GCCTGATGCCAGTAGAAGTTACTTGCCAGCCTCCAGGACTATTTCAGCCACACCAACCTTTCCAGCCACTCTCCAGCAGTCACCAGCACATCCAGCATATAGTACCACGCAACACCGTTCTTTGTGGTGAACTATATACAGTTTATTCACAGAATATACAACGCTCCTGCAAAGTGCTTCGCCAAACACCGCGATTCCCAAAAGGAATAGTTTGGACTGCACTTGTCCACTTATATACATATTTACAACCAATCAGCATTAAGCTGAGTCATACCTGTGGCCTCACACCATAAACCGGTCTAAACCGGCCAAGACAGGCTTCCAGCAGTCTCACTGCTGTCACTCAGATCCTGCAGATCTGACAGTTCATCTGACAGTGCATATTAATAGTTCAACACTCCCCCTTAATATACATCTGTTCAGACCATATGCAACATCCTTTTACAATTTTGGAACTTCACATCATCCAGACTCTTAGTGAACATGTCTGCAATGTTATCATTTGTTTTACAATGTTTCAGGGTTACAATATTCTTTTGCACCATGTCCCTGACATTTTGGTATCTGACATTTATGTGCCTTGACCTGGGCTTTATGCCCTGTGAACCTGCCAGTTGCTCAGCAGCCAAGTTGTCGCACATTACAGTCATTGGTACAGTACATTGCATATTAAAATCTTTCAGTAGTTGCATCACCCATACTAGTTGTATAACGCAATCATTTAGAGCGGAATATTCAGATTCACACGTACTGGTGGAAACACAATCCTGTTTCACGGATTTCCACATGATTAGTGCATTATTTACAAAGATTACATAACCTGTAGTCGACTTTGCATCTTGGTTAGTCCCCCAGTTTGCATCACTGTAGGCTACTACCTTCTGCGACTTGTCACCCTTTAGCACCAACTTGTTAGTTGCAGTGCCCTTCAGGTACCTCAGGATCCGCTTTGCAGCGTTCCAATCCCTTTGGTAAGGTTTGTTACATCTTTGACACAATATATGCACAGCATTGCTGATATCTGGCCTTGACCATGTTGACAAGTACATGAGAGATCCCAACAAGGACTGATACAACTCTTGTTGTGCAAACTCTCCATCATCAGGTTCCTTCAGATAGCCAGTGGACATTGGGGTAGAGACAGGTTTTGCCTCTGACATATTAAACTCTTCCAACAGTTTCAATATTTTAGTTTGCTGGCTAATCTCAAAATAGCCTTCTGGGTTTCTAGTTATCTCCATACCCAGATAATGCTGAATTTCCCCAAGATCCTTTATTTTGAATTTCTTTGATATGTTTTGCTTAAACCAAGCTAGTTGCTCTTCATGTTTGTACAACAGACTAATGTCATCCACAAACAAAATAAGGTAACATGTTTCACCATTTACCATAGCACTGAACATACATGGATCAGCCACGCTCTGTGTGAACCCCATGTTAAGCAATGCATTAGTAAGACACTGGTTCCAAAGATGACCACTTTGACGTAACCCGTACAAACCCTTCTTTAGTTTCAGCACCAGATTCGGATCTGATACCTCAAAACCAGGTATTTGTTTTAGATACAGTTGCTCATCAATTTCTGCATTGAGATAAGCAGTGGAAAAATCAAAATGCTGCACCTGCAATCCCTCTATACCAGCTTTGACCAGCGCTATAAGTAGGGTATTGCTACGCATTGTGGGCGAAAAAGTTTCATCGAAATCGATACCACGCCTTTGACTACAGCCTTGGGCGATCAATCTCGCTTTTCTTTGAGGGGGGCCACCATGAACCGGCTTAAGTTTGTACAGCCACCTGCATCCTATAACCTTTTTTTCTTTTGGTAGCTCAGACACCTCAAATACTTCATTTTCACACAATGAGTCATATTCTGCTTTCATAGCAGCTAACCAGGCTTGTTTTTCCTCATTAGGCATTTTCATAACATCATTATAGCATGTGGGTTCAATGGCATTCACATAGTTAATCACATTTGTTTCAAACCCATACCTTTGGGGTGCCACCCCTTTTGTGGTTCTTTCAGACCTTCTGGGTATCTCCCTGTCAGCAACCACATCACCTGATGTACTAGGTTCAGTTTTCACAGACACATCATCTGTTTCCTCAGTAACAGGCAGTATGACTTGATCTGGCAATGAGTTTGCATGTATGTCATGCCAGTTTTTACCTTCAGTGAAGTTAGCTGACCTGCTAAAACTGAGATGGTTATTGCTGTTTGCAAACCTGTAAGATTTCATCCCTGGCTGGTAGCCCAGAAATACCATTTTCTTTGACCTGTTTCCTCCCTTCCTACGTTGCTCTAAGGGAATGTTTACCCATGCCTGCGAACCGAACACACGTAGATAGTCCAACTTGGGAGGTTTAACATACAAGATAGCATAAGGTATGTTATCCAACACTCTGGACCAAGTTCTATTAGAAACATACACTGCACACTTTAGTGCTTCTGCCCAAAATGACTTAGGTAGTTTGGCATCTGCCAACATTGCATACATGATCGTTTGGAGGGTCTGATTGTGCCTCTCGGCAAGGCCATTCTCAGGCGGGGCCCCTGGATTTGATACACGATGCTTCACCCCCAAACCTTGCAACCACTTTTTCATTGCATTCGACATGAATTCACCTCCCATATCAGTTTGCAGAGCTTTCAGCTCCCCCAATTGGTTCTTAACCTTTTTATACCAGTACTTCAGGGTGGTGAAAACATCTGACTTATTTCTCAATATGTAAATCCAGCTGTAATGTGAAAAATCATCAGTCAGAACCATAGCATATTTACATTTAGACACACTACATGGAAATGGGCCTAGCAAATCAATATGTATTAATTGAAGAGCATGTGTGGACACCCTTTTGCTCTCTTTAGCCACAGGAAAAGCCCTTGTTTTCACCTGTTTGCACACTTGGCAATCTAAGAAGGTCTTGCACTCCTTAAGCCCCTCCCTGCCTGTTAAGGCTAAGGTCTTTTGCAACGCATGAAAAGAAGCGTGGCCCATTCTTCTATGTAGCAAATGAAGACAGTTATTATGAGGATTAGTGTTATGCGGCAGGCTGGCTGTTGCTGCCGTTTCTGCATGGCTAAGAATATAAACACCATTGCTTAGCTTAGCAGTTGCCAACACCCTCCCACCTTTCTTAATACAACACTTATCATCAGCAAATTCCACAACATAGTTTGCTCTATCAAGGCATGATACGCTCAAGAGATTGTGCTGCAATTTTGGAACGCACAGAATGTTTTGCAAGGTGCATTCCAAC